AGCCAGGTACTTGAGCTCAAGCGCTGTGGTCTTAAACCTTAGATGAAGGGACCTGAGTACGGTTGTCAAGGAACCAAGCTTGCCCTCGGCCTAGGCACTAGTACTTGGGCGAGCAAGACGGCAACAAACCCGAGCACAAGCATCAATGACTCTGGAGTAGAAGTCGGCTACCTAGGCACGGGCACCAAGGTATCGGCCCCAACCTTGAGCGACTTGGGCCAAGCCTTTGTGGACCGGGGCCTAGCCACCAAGTAATTGGGTTCAATTATGGACTTGGACTTGGGTGCTAGTGATTGAAACGTGGGAGCTGGGTAACTAGGCACCTAGGCATGGTTGCTTGGGACTCGAACATAGGCACCGGGGTCTCGAACATAACCACTAGGTCTCAGGTCCAGCCTCTATGGACCAGGGCAAGGCCTAAATGGAGTTGGGCTCGGTCGATGGTGACTTTGGCGCAAGAGCTGGGTACCTGGGCACAACCTCCAAGGACCTGGACACAGGAATTAGAGTCTTGGGTCCGGTCTCAAGGAACCTAGGCCCATCTTTTGTATAACCGGGCCGCCGAGGAACCTGGCCTAGGTTCCCAAAACTTGGAAGCTAGAGCCGGATACCTGAGCATGGCCATTAGGGACACGGCCACGGGCACCGGTGTCTTGGGCCAGGCCTTTAGGACCCTGACCCGGCCACCGAGGACCTATGTTTAGATGTTGGGATTCCCATGCCCAAATGTCGATATCTAATGGTATTTTGAAAAATAATTTCTGATTGAGGAGATCACTAGTTGAATTGAAGCGTAGTCTTTCCGTCGATAAGGAAAATCATTGATTCATTTCCCCGAGCCATCTAAATGCTAAAAATTAAGAATGTGTTGTCCGATGGGAAATTTACTTGAAACAAATACAGCTACCATGTCCATTCGGTCTTCTTCTTGTCCTTTGTTTGTAATATTCAGGGGAAGAACAGCAGAAGTGCCAAAAGTTATGTACGGAGCTCACTTTGGTGCTAAAAGTTCCATTTGGATCACTAACGTGCCAAATCGGAGGAAAAATGATCACTTTGGTGCCAACGGCGAGAGATTCCGGCAAAATTAATACGTGGCATTTATAATTAAATTTTTAATCTTAGTTGGATTTTTTTTAAAAAAAATTAGTCTACGTGGCATTTCCACGTATATATTTCGATTTTTTAAATACTTTTCTGAATTTTTTTCTTTTCTTTTTTTCTTTTCTTTCTTCTCCCTTTGGTCACCGCCGGTGATTGGAGGCCGGCCACCGGCCGCCTGGTCTCGCCCAGACAAGGCCGCCGCCGCCTGCCACAGGCGAGGCCCGGCCGACCCTCGCCTGGACGACGGCGGGCAAGGCGACGCCGCCGGCCGCCGCCGTGGCCTGGGCGACGGCCGGCCTCGCCGGATCTGGCGAGGGAGCCTCACCGGGCTCGCCCATGCGAGGCGAGGCCGACCTCGCCGGGGCTTGCCCGCCGTCGCCCAGGAGAGGGTCGGCTGGGCCTCGCCTGTGGCGGGCGGCGGCAGCCTCGTCCGGGCGAGGCCAGGCGGCCGGCTCCGGTCACCGGCGGTGACCAAAGGGAGAAGAACGAAAAGAAAAAAAGGAAAAAAGAAAAAAAATTATTTAAAATAAAAAATGCTGACTATACGTGCTGACTGTATCTCCGGCGAGCCACATCGGCTTCAGAAATTAATAAAAAAATGCTACGTCGGATTTCCGGCCAAACTGACCGTAGTTGGCACTTAAGTGATCGTTTTTCAAAAATTTTGGCACTTAAATGATCCAAATGAAACTTTTGGCACCAAATTGAGCGCCGTACACAACTTTTGGCACTTCTAGTATCCTTCCCCTGTAATATTCCAAGCTCAGAACCCCGACTCAAACACGCCGCTTTACCGCAAGTTATTAAATATTAACCCAAACAAAAAATAGACAAGGTCCTCAATTCTTCTTTGTCACCACAAAATCATCCTCGTACAAGAATAAGCTTAGAAAACTAATTCCACCTATATATATATTTATATTCCAACCTTATATACACACCAAACTCAGAAAGGAAAATGCAAGTTTTTGTGGTGTACTTCAATACCTCGAACTCCACGGTCAAAGTATTCAAAACATGCAAAACTATAAGTAGGTTAGCCTCACTGTCGAGTAAAACGATGGCTAGCTTAGTAAGTAATTTAACAATTCAATCTGTGCATGGGACATGTCAAAAGATGCGTAGAGATTGATCAGCATATGTTTTTCTTAGATTGATCAGTAAGTAATACAACACCTCAAGCGGGCTTATTTTCTCTTTTACCACCGCGCATGCCATGCACATTTTGTGGGTATATAGATGAACCTAGCTCGAGCTACTTGGAGACCGTTTGCACAACAAGAAATCGATCCTTATATGGTAATGTTAATTACATTTGACTCGTTTTATGAGGAGTATTATCAAGCTCGAATGTGACTTGTTTGGATTTTGGGCTAATTCGAACTCAATTTAGGCATATATTTTGTTCTAATACTCAAGTGTGGTGGGCACATAATTAAGACATGCGCGAAACTTATTTGCTCATGAAAGAAAGTTGAGCCTTTATTCTGGCAATTCACGTTTTCTAAACTCTAACGAGGTGAGGACTATTGGTAAGGTCAAGTATTTAGGGGAATCAAAGTGATACACAAAACAATAATGGGAGGAAAGAAAATTTAAGTGGAAGAATTTGAATCATTTAAAATTTCTGTGAGAACGGAAAGGATAGAAAATCCAAATAGTGGAGATTCTCTTGCCATTTTCCACTCCCAACCTGGTGTCATCCATCACCGTGGTTGTTCCTCCCTATCTATTTTTTTTAAGGGATATGTGCACTAGAAATCATAAAACTTATTGTGAAAGTACAATTGAGTCCTAAAATTTTTAGAAAGTGCGATCAAATCCTAAAATTTGTCAAATTGGTAAAATCAAGTCATTCCGTTAACACCGTTAATTTATCTAATGGAAAATGATGACGTGGTAATTTTTAATTATTTTCTCTCTCTTACTTGGCATTTTTTAAATTATTTTCTTTTCGAAATCTTATTTAAATTAGATTAAAAAACTAAAAAATAGGTTAAATTTTATTTTTTAAAAAAAGGAATGGCAGGGGCTCACCGGTGGGATGCGGCCACCACCCATTGCCCGAGGCTGCCGGCCCTGGGAGAGGGTGGCCGGCTTGCCTTGGTGCGCCTCACCCTAATCTAGGTTGGGTGCCTGGATTTGCGCAACGTTGGTGCCTCCCTTGGGGCGGCAACCCTTGCGAGGCTTGGGCAAGGGTTAGTGTTGCCTAGATATGGGCACCCAACGCTGGCCCTCTACCCAGTTCTGGGCAAGCCTCGCCGGCCATCACCTAAGGCTGTCGTGACCTCGCCCAGACCTAGCAAGGGTGAGGCCTCGCTCGGGGCCGACAACCCTCACTAGGTCGGGGTGAGGCCTCGCCGACCTTAGGAGATGGCTGATGAGGCTCTCCCAGAACTAGGTTGAGGGCCTCGCCAGAGCTGGCGAGGGTCACCAGCCCCAGGGGAGGATTGGCGTCGCCCATATCTGGGCACAAAAAATCAATGTTGTTTAATTCAAAATCTTTATCATCGTCCAATAACATGGCCCTTTTAACATTCTTCTAACACATCGCTCATTGGTGAATGTAGTTGAGGGCTTCATCTCGATCCTTGTCCGATCCTCGGGGATCAGCTCCTCTTCTGTGATAATATTAACTTAATCGAACATCAAGAATACATAGGATACCCCTGATACTTCATTGCATCCTCGTAAACTTTTTGGACGAGCTTTCTTGTCATTTATTCAGAGAAACAAAGGAAAAAAACCAAAAGAAAAGAAAAAGAAAATTGAAAATACTATTGTCTTTTCACGAAACTGAATTTTTAGACTATTGAATCACCGACCATAAAAGACAAGAAACGCTTCTTCGCTTACTTCTTTTCTTCCAGGTCAAAGGAGAGAACCTTGGCTTGAAAGTCCAACTTGCTCTATGAAACGGTGTCCGATGCGAAATGTCGCAGTCAATCCATGCGCAAATCCTCATTCATTGCACGAATTGCCCCAACAAATTGACAAATCCAAGAAAGGATTGGACTTTACGCTGGGCGTGACTATTTGACTTTAGTTATACTATTGATTCACCGTCCAATTAAAAAAGCAACTTCATTTGCCAAAAAAGAAAAAGAAAAAGAAATTGGGTCACTGAAGACCTTTCGGGTTGAAGGAGAAATTTCCTTTGATTTTCATCGGTGAGACGTACAATATCGAGAATCAAAGTGTGGAAAAATTGATTTATAATAAATGCGAATATAGTTTGAACTAAATTTTTTAATACACAAATATATATATACACATATATGTATTTCAAAATAGACTTCACTTTTTGTCATCTTACTTCATAAATTAATTGGATTATGGGTTTCCTCCGCCAAAGATGGGTATTTTTTTTGTTTTTGGACAGCCCGATATACCCACGCAACAACATGGCGTACCCTTATTCGGTTTATTTAATTCTCATATGGAAATGTTGTATTACATGAACACATTGAAATTCACAGTGAATAAATATTTCTTTGGTGTGATACTTTATATAGAATGGAGCAAATAAATTGTGTGATATTTGATTCTAATCAATAAAAAGTTATGGATCTAATGAACTTTATGATATTTAATTCTGCTTTGAGAAGCTTACACCCAGTTCGTTGTTATGCATCAGTCATGGACCCAATGGTGCATATCTGTAACATATTACTTAATAGTGCTATATATGGTATTATTAGTCCACTGGCTAATACCACGGTGGCGGTGGTAATGGTGCCAGCTTCATCGGAGCTTGCAGCCAAGATAGTACTAACTTCTTGAAGAATGAAATTGTGTGAATTTGGGATAGGATAACGTCTATACTCATGAGATATGACTTGTCACCTCCAACTGTAAATACAAATAGAATAAGAAAAATAATGCTCATAGCAACAGAAGTGATGCTGATCTTGGATTCACATTCAAATGTTGACAGACGAGTACATCACAACACATTAATCAACCATCGATGTACAACAAATTAAACACAAGTGGAGAGGTAGGATTGTACACCACAAGGATTCGATTCCTAGAAGCGCACTAAACGACAAAGCGCATCTCTTGAGACAGACTCAAAAGCTGATTCGACCTTATGAAAAAGAAAACTTGAGTGCCAGTTTTTTCCTCTCGAAGAAACACCACATTCAAAATCAAGTTTGATAGAGAGGAACCCCTCATAAAAAAAATTCCTGGAGACTTTCCTAACACAGCAGGTGGGTTTTTTTGAACGTGGTCAACGGGTCAATCACGCAAAAACTAAGGAGAAAAAAACCCACCAGCAAAATAATAGTGACTCCAGACTAAAAAGCCAAAGCCAATGCTTTGGCGTTCGCAAAGAGTTTGGTGTGGTCTGACCAGAGAGAGTGATTCACGGGCACCTTTCTTCCTCCTCGAAGATCTCAAACTCTCTGAACCAAAAAAACAAAAAGGAAATGGAATCAGCGGGTGTTATTATTAGGGTTTGAAAGTTGTTGCTCGCCAGCTCCTGATGAGATGAGAATTTTGCTTGAGATCACATGAGATCCAGAAGAGATTGACGCAGATTCCTCACGAGATCCCCCATTTTCAAGTTGAATCCCACGTCCATCTGCAAGATTTTTTTTTCGTTTGATGGTGTAAAATATAATTTAATTTTCGTTTGCTGCAATATGGTGTTAAAGTCGGGAAAAAAATTTGAAGAAACTATGGTGATAGGTATAATTACCTGAGCTAAGATGGTAACATCCAGTATGGAACTCCCAAAGGGCAGGACAAAACTGTTCAGGACTGTTAGGTTCAGTTTCTCTATTTCGCCGATCATTTTCGATATAAAACCGTTACGCTTCTCACTATGGATTTTGATGAGGACGCACTTTCCGGAGACTCGTGCCTCGATTTCCGGGAGCGAGAGTTGCTTGTCAATTTGATTGCAGGAGTTCTCGTCGGACGAAGAAGACATGCCGTCATCCGTGACGAGTTGGGACTTCTTCACCACGACGATCGACTCCACGGTCTTCGTTGCCACCTCCTCCTCGAGTGCCTTGACGTGTTGTTGAAGCTCTTTCAAGTACTTGATGGCATCCTCGAGGATGGAAGCCTTGTCCATCTGATAGATACATATGGGCCGCACAATTCTTTAATGACGTGAAATATTTTGAAATGGTTACCTTTAATCAGGGACGAAGAAAAAGAGAGGAAATTGTAAGTTGCGTGCATCTAATTTAAGTTGAATTTAATCTCGAGATTATTTTGTAGTAGCGCATTTGTAAATTTTTTCTTAACAGTGATTGCGGGTCTTCATAATGATTTTCTTCACATACATCTAGTTCGCAAACTTAGGGTTTTGGTCATCTAACTAAGTTTCATGTCACACGATAAGCATCGAGTTTAAGCTGTAATCTCAAAACAAAACAACCAAGCCATGTGATTATGGCGTATGAATTAAGCGTATATAGCATAAGTTTCCAAGAGAAGCTACTTTTAGAGAACCCCGTATATCAAGAGAGCATGTACTTTTAAATTTTCCACTTGAGCATGTGGAACTCTTCAACACATGGATGTGTTGCTTCTCGGGAAAAAGTGTCAAAAAAGTCATAAATCTTTTGCATTGGTGCTAATTTAGTCCTAAACCTTTTTTTTGTGCCAATTCAGTCATAAACCTTTTGCATTGGTGCCAATTGAGTCCTAAACCTTTTTTTGATGCCAATTCAGTCCTAAAACCTTTTGCATTGATGCCAATTTAGTCCTAAACCTATTTTTGGTGCCAATTCAGTCCTAAACCTTTTGCATTGGTGTCAATTCAATCCTTTGACACGTGAATAGCTATTAGCCGGAATGACTGAATTTGCACAAATGTAAAAGGTTTATTGACACCAAAGCAAAAGGTTTAGACTAAATTGGCACCAATGCAAAAGGTTTAGGACTGAATTGGCACCAATAAAAAGGTTTAGGACTGAATTGGCACAAATGCAAAAGGTTTATGACTGAATTGGCACCAAAAAAAGGTTTAGGACTAAATTGGCATCAATGCAAAAGGTTTAAAACTGAATTGGGATCAAAAAAATGTTTAGGACTAAATTGGCACCAATGCAAAAGGTTTAGGACTTTTTTGACACTTTTCTTGTTGCTTCTCTATCATCATGTTCTAAAGACTAAACTAATTTGTCCTAATCTCATTCTTAATCCAACCCGTCAATCATACACACCCAATAATTTCCAACCTTTTACGGTACGTACCTTCTTAAGGTTCGGAATGATGGCTGAGAGCGCGATGAAATGCTGGCTGATCTTCTCGCGGCGCTTCCTCTCGGCTAGCACATGCTCTTGTGCGTGTACCGGCATCCTGCTCGTTGCGCCGGCAGTTTTCATCTTTGGTCCCTCGCAATCTTGGATTTGATAAGTACCTTTGACACAAAACAAACAAATATTGTTATCAATATTTAATGAGAAAAGGTTTGATTCAGATTTTAGATATGACCAAATGGTGTCTTGCAAGACTTCACCATAGAACTGATCGGATATGGCTGGAGATGAATCAGGGTTCCCGAAAGATATCAAGTGGGAATCAGTAGAAGGAGACGGCAACATTGCTGTGTTGCAAGTCGTCGTTTTGTGCTCTGTTGCGCACAGAGAGGTGCGGCTCTCGGTCTTGAGCTGTTTCCGGGGCCTCTCCGTGAGCGCTTGAGGAGTTTCAACAGATCGTGCGGTGAAACAGGGCATCGTCTCGGGGCTAATAAGAGGGAGTAAATAGGATGGCAGCGAGTTCGAGCAGGGCTCTGAAGGAAAATGTGGATGGAACAAATCGAACTCATCATCAAGTGACAAGGAAGATTTCAATTGTTGCTGATGATGATGGTGATGGAAATAAGCTGCATCTTCAACCATCTGCGGATATTCACACCCAAAAAAGGGAAAACTAGAAAGAATCAACATGTGATTTGAATGTATCGATCGGTACGTCTATATTCAAAAAAATTTGGTCACAGGAAACCAGAAGGAGTGTTACGTCGGGAAATATTCTCGGCGATAAGATCTCCATCGGATCACCACCTTCTTCTTCTTCTTCTGGGTCCTCTAATCACACTGAAGGAGAAATCTATACTCAATGTTGGATTTACGTGTATGCAGAAAGATTGATTAGAGTTGAAAACATTCCAGTACTTCGTGCTAATCAAGGGAAGGAACAAGGCAAAAGAAAACAAGGTCATCACCTGTCAAGAACAAGAGACAGAGAAGCAAAGCTTAATTGCGCAATGGTGGACTTGTAAGGAATACTTGCTTTCATATATATGGGAGTGCCCACACGCGTTCTCGGCGAAGACGCTAACCTCGTGCGCGCGAGTTATTCGTCTCCCTTTGCGTGCTGGCTGGCACCGGTTCCCATTGGGGAGAGGGCTCTTCGATCTTTTTCATTCCGTCAAGCTTCGGGCACACACAGTTTTCTCTCTCTCCCTCTCTCCAATAATCCGTACAACCATAAATATTTAATTGTGCCCACGTCCCTCTCCAATAAATCCGGTACAACCTGAAAGTTTACTTGGGTTTATATTTTATGTGGTCTTGTTAACGGCTTAACTTGAAACAATCCTTAATCACGCTTAACAATGAACATGCACTGTTTTTTTTGACAATTGCCCGGAGGAAACCCGTTACGAAAATCATATTCTATGTGATCCTATTTCTTTGATGGGCTAAGAAAGTCGAAATAAATGACTGGCATTGATATCTCATCAGATATTACTTTTAAGAGTTCCGCGCAAGGCGAAATATTTTATCCTAGCCATAACTACCACTCATTCTGTTCTATGGTAGTGCCACGTAGGATGGCCGGCATTAATGTGGATAATTTTTTATAATTATTTAGCCGACCCTCGCCAGTCATAGACGATGGCCGATTGACCCTCGCCAACCATAGGCAAGGGCCAGCGACCCTTGTTGACCATCGTCGGCCACTAGGCGAGGGTTGGCCGGCTCTTGCCTGTGACCGGCGAGGGTTGACTAGCAACCCTTGCTGGGCTTGGAAGAAAAAGAGAAAAAGTAAGAAAGAAAAAAATAAATATAATAAAAAATTAAGAAATTTTTAAAAACTATTATAAAAATTGTATACGACAGCACCAGCCGTTCTACATAGCACGGCCGGCTTCCACGTCAGCGATATGCAGCTAAAATTGGCCGGATGGACTCAAATGACAAAACGTGAAAAATGTTTAGGATTTAATTGGCAAAATTAAAAGGTTTATGACTAAATTGGCCAAAGTGCAATAAGTTTAGGACTTTTTGGATAATTTTTCCCAAACATCTTTGCATTCAAACTCATCCAAACCTAACTAAGGGCATGGTCCACATATTCTACATATATGCAATCATCCAAACATTTGAGCTTATAACTTATTAGCATCTTCCCTTTGCTTTTCTCTTTCTTTTGGGCCTTTTTTAGTCATTACGACTATAATATGAAAGGGACAACCAAATCAAATCTCGAATGAAGCTTTTAGCCAAATACACATATGATGGGTTTTGTTTTTGTCCTTTTGGTATTTGGAGAAGAAGCTAATTATTCTCTTCATATTGTATGCAAGAAACTATACGAAGGTACTTTTTTTTTTAAGACAACCGACATAGGAAATTAACTATGGATCAATTAGTTGCCTAGAAAATGTAGTCAAGCAACTTTTAAAGGTCTCTTCATATTGCATGCACGTTCAATGTAAACCAAAGTTAACGTCCCAATTTGTTTTCTTTTCAATTAATGAACATGTCGAATCACATTATCAAGCGTGTGTAATGTCGGATAGATGAAGAAGATATTGGCAAGATTTAATCCGAATAAAAAGTAGGGTTAATACCACGAAAAATCCAAAACCGGTACATTCGTGACAAATTTACCCTAGACTATTTTTTTGACCACAAAAAACCCCAAGCTGGTACACCTGTGATAATTTTACCCCGAACTATTTTTTTTACTACCAAAAATCCCACACTGGTACACCTGTGACAATTTTACCCTAAACTAATTTTTTGACCACCAAAATCTCCAAACTGATACATCATTGACAAATTTACCCTCCGTTAGTTTCCGTTAAATTTTACTGTTAAATTTCTAAGTTTAATGACATGTGGTAATTGACAGGTGTACCGGTTTGGGGTATTACCCCTCTGTTTGTCATAAGTTTACCAATTTGTGATTTTTGTGATATTAATCCAATTTAACGGACACTAACGCAGGGTAAATTTGTCACAAATATACCAGTTTGGGGTTTTTGATGGTTAAAAAATTAGTTTTGGATAAAATTGTCACAGGTATACCAGTTTGGGATTTTTGGTGGTAACAAAATTAGTTCGGGATAAAATTGTTACAAATATACCAATTTGGGGTTTTTTATGGTCAAAAAATAATTCGGGGTAAATTTGTCACAGGTGTATCGGTTTGGGATTTTTTGTGGTAAAAAAAATAGTTCGGGATAAAATTATCACAGATGAATCAGTTTGAAATTTTTCGTGGTATTAACCCTAAAAAGTAGGAGGGCCTGATTAGACCCTATAACAAAGAAGCAATTTCCATAACATTCCTTAAACAAGTGTGTCAACATAATTTTACAATTTATTCTCGGATTGTGGGAAGGGAGGAGACAGATGAAAACAAACTCCTGAATACCATCTTGGCTGTCTTTTCCGATGATCAATCGAATCACTCAGGGCAGACCTGGTACACCTACCCCATGACGAAATGGTTAAGCTACCATGTGGCACCAATTATCGATGCACGTCCCAGTAAACAAAGTACATCAAATCCTAGTTGTAGATTAGGATATAATGATAGATTACTTTAAAATTGCTCAGTTTATAGAAAATAATTATATTCTATTGTTAGACCCTGTTTTTAGAGTATAATTTGATTTCAACTGGACAAGTTGCTTTTCTCTTTTATTTTACGTCCGTTGAGCTGGAAAACGGCTTCTCAACCAAAATGACAAATCACGTACCTATCAAGAAAAACCAAAGTGGTCATCTTATTTTTGGGAAAAATTTCCCAAATTCTCGTTTCTTCATCAATACCTAAACTTGCACAAGTGATCCAAAAATACCTTCCATTACAGTTCCGTTCAAGATGGCCATTAAAATCCAACGTGATGACTTGCGTGGACAATGGCAGGCAAATGGAACTGACGTGACTTTAGTCTAATCTAAAGCGATGTCATTTCTCTTTAGGAAAATCACACGAAAAAGCCTAAATTTTTCCTAGTGTAACACTAGTAACTTAAATTTTTGTAATGTTACCAATACGTCTAACTAGTATTAGTGACTCAAAAGTACTTCTTGTTACAATTTCATCCAATACGACTGACAAAATCCAATGTGACGGCTTGCATGGACAACTTAGGCAAATGGAACTGACGTGACTTTAGTCTAGTGCAAAGCGACGTCATCTCTATAGGAAAATTTTACCAAGAAGTCTATACTAAAATATCTTTTAGTTAATCTTTCCCTTGCACTTTTAGTATTGTAGCTTAATTTGCACGGTAAAATCAGTAGGGATTATTACACGTATTTTGCATCGACATAAATATGTACCCAAAAAAAATATTAAATGGTGAAAATATAGGTAAGTACTTTTTTGAAGATACGAAGCTATCCGTTGAAAACAAATTATAGGAGGGACATTGCACAGATGATATAAAGTACATTTGGTCAGCACACAATTTTCAGCTTAAGTTATAAGTTTCTATCTCCTTTCAAGGAAAATAAGAATTTTCACTCTCTTTTCGAAAATTTAACTAGTCTCCTGCATTATATAAGAGTTTTATAGCAATGTTGATAGAATATTTAGATGTTAATCCACGCCTCCATATAACATGTTATGATTTTAGAAAAAGTAGCAGTAGTTCCATAAAATTTCATATGTTATTAGAGCAGTTGGTCCTGAGTAAGAATATTTCCGGGCCTCTCATTTGCATAAGAATATCACATGGTCCCACCAAAATCTTTTAGTGTTATTTTAGAGTTATTAATCAACTATGCCAGACAGAGAAGATCCGAGATTTATATTCATATTATTTATGACATCCAATTATAAAAATCTGGCAAAGAAAGTGGGCATTAATAAAACATGTCGACTCTTCAAGAAAAGGGTAAAGGCTAAGAATATTTCGGACCTCGTGACAGGTATTATGCTATATAAGGAAAACGATAAGGTTTGCTTGATTCTGCTTGTTTGAGTACCTTTATATTATGAGTCATACCATTTTATTTAATTTGTTGCACATGTGGGATCAATATGACATAATAAAGGGCCTATGAGATCATCTGAGCAGGATATCGGATATTAAAATTGTTTCAACTCTCCACACGTTATAAGCATTTTTATTATTCCAAGAATAAATTTTTCTATACTCTAGAGATACTTGTTAACAAACAGATATAAAATAATTATCTTGCTTTTATTAATTTATGGCCCGCGGTGGCATAATAGGACAAATTCTTTAGCCCTGCACTGTCACAACATGTATAGATTTCCCATAAGTCATTGCCATCGATTTATTTTTGGTAATGGCGTGGCAAGTCACCGGCCTAAGCTTGCAAAAGAAGTATTCGTGTTGTGTCATTTAAGTGTGATCACGAGTTCAGTCTCAATAACTTAAGTGTGACAAGCTCCATTACTATAGCTGTTAAAATGTCTAATTCAAAATTACAAGTCAGTAGATGGAAGGGAGACTACATTTATATAAACATCATATAAATTCTATAAATAAACAAAATTGATATTTTTACATTCCTCTCACGTGCAAACCGGATGAAGAAAGATTTATAGAATTTGACAAATGAGGGGGAGGGTTCCACGTGAAATAAACTAAGGCAAAACCTGGTAAACCGGTTGTGGCTGCTCTCGAGAATGAGGATCGTTGGACGAAAACCAAAGGACTTGGAACAACGAACGTTGGTAGTCTCAGTGTCAAGATAGAAACACAAGGGTTCTTTCTTTTCTCTCTTTTTTTAAGACTAATGGTAAGAAGAAAGATAAAGTTAGGATTTTGATTTGGGTCTCATCTTAGTAGCGCTGTAACGTGTCAGAATGTCCAGTCAAAAATGTTATATCAATATATGGAGGAAAAGTATATAAATTTTATAGACACAGTTGGATGCTCTGCCGGTAGCATTGACAGCCTGGTCTTTGTTGGTTCATTTGACAAAAATTACATCAGACAAATA